AAGTTGTACGTCGGCCCCGGGAGTTCAAGTTGCTGGATGTCTAATCTTTTTTTCTCAGATTTCAGTTTTCCACCAGCACCACCGCGCACCGGCTAAACCCTGCCCGTCGCGTCTCCCCCTCTGTCCCACCCCCCCTCCCCCCGGAGACGCGGTCTCCCCACTCCTCCCAGAAACGCACCACAAGCACAACAAGATGGAACACGTATAAGCTCCGCTGCCAAACCGCAACAGCCAACAGGTGAGAAACAGCGCATTTCAAAACGATGAGCTTGCTCATCCCGGTAACCGATCCCGGAGTGGTTCGACTCCAAGCAAATCCGGAGGTGACGGCTGACGGGCGCTGTCTCGATGATCTCAGCCCGATCTCGGCACCCAGGCCCAGTGAGGTAGTGCGTCAGACCTGTCCCGGATCCCGCTGAACAAGCTCCTCTTAATAGCTCGATCGGTCACACCGCCATCGAGCTGATGTCAGGCTGATGTCTCCCAGTGAGACGATGGAGGCGGCAGAGGGGGGACGACACTGCTTCAGCAGCGTGCATGCACCTCGATCCTCGATCCTGTCCACTGTGTTGTGACCCCCCCCCCCCAATGAACTTGAACACACCAGCGAGGGAGGGCGAGACGATCGAGGGGTCCCGGTACCATGCGGAATCGACCCGAGCCCAGTTCTCTCTAAAGAGCGACCTCGGCCCAAGCGTAGAAAAAGAATTTCGCCGCCACGTCGCGACGAGACCTACGAGACGACCGCGGGGTGGCATGAAGGTTGCAGCGAGAATCGGCGAGAGACTGCGAAGAGAGATAGGAAGTGGTAGACGCCCGAGGGTGGGATATGGCTAGCGTATCACACCCCTCTCCTTAAAATCCCTGTGTGGTGGCGGCGTGCCGTCCTCCCCGCGGATTTTTATTTCTTTTTTCTACGAGACCGAGCCTACGAGGCCTGGCGAGTACAGACCAGTCCTGCTATTCACAGCACAAGCCCTCGCCGGGGGCTTTCCAGACGATCCCCCCCTGTGAACAACATGCGAGAGAGAGAGAGAGATTTTTAGCAATACCAAACAACTCTAACATGCGTGTCGCGCACTCATTCATGACCGACCGGTCTCAATGCCCACCCCCCTGCGCGCGGGCCTTCTAGGCCCGCGGGTAGTCCCCCCCCATCCCCAGGGCCTCCAGGGCTCGCACCTCAACCTCTCACAGGCCAGCGCACAGCGCCATCGGAGGTATTTTCTTCTCAATAACTACCGTCGGGTCTCTATTTTAAGATGAGGTAAACAGCAATAGATCCGGCCCTCAAGCGGCCTAATCGATACCCAGCCCTCACGGAATTGGTCCCTCGTTGTACAGCAATCGATCCTTCACAGTGCCCGTCCTGCCAACTTGCCGAGAATCGGTCCCCCAGGTCACCTGTGGCGCGAAGCTGATGTCTCCCGCCCTCTGCGCGCCCAACGCGCAGCGGCGGCAGACCACCCTCCGGTTCGAGGGGCGCCTGGGGCTTAGCGGGCTGCCTCCGCCAGAGTTTGGCTCGCCCACCGGCGGGCTGTCACCCTGCCACGGGTCGCAAGCCCTCTGCCGGCCGGAGCGCAGGCTGCGCGGGCTTCCAGCAATTGGTCCCTTGGCAAGCGCGAATCGGTCCCCCTGGCTCCAGGAACTGATCCGGCACTACACCCGGATCTATTGCTGTTTACCTCATCTTAAAATAGAGACCCGACGGTAGGCTGTGAAAGTGAGGCGTGGTCTGTTCTCGCCAGCTACGAGGCCACCAGCCAGAAGGCGATACTCGCAGCAGCCGGGATGTCGACGTCGCTCGACCTCGGCGGCGGGCTGATGCCGTCCGCGCAGCTCGAGTCGCTGCTCTCGCAGATGGTTCAGGGCGACCCCGAGCAGATCCGGCAGGCCGAGGAGGCCCTCACGCCGGCGCTCAGCACGCCTGCCTTTATGCTCGACCTGCTGACCCGCCTCACCCAGTCTCAAGCCGCCCACGTCCGGCAGCTGGCGGCGGTGCTGCTGCGCCGTCGCATCGGGTCGCACTGGCGCAAGCTCGGCGCCGCCAACACCAACCGGATCAAGGCGACCCTGCTGCAGGTCCTCGCGACCGAGCCTGAGGGTGCGCCTCGCGCTTCCCTCTGCGAGCTGGAACCCGCCCCCGCCGCCCACAGCACCTCTCCTTTCACGGTGCTTGCTTCGCCGCCCACCAGGCGCCGT